AGTGAGAGTCATGCAAGCATGATTAGAAACAATAAGCTAGGTTAGATACGGTAGTGAATAAACAGCGTGAACAAAAAATGAACAAGAAGGCCAAATTAAACATTGGAGGCACGTCACTATAATTAAGCCAAATGATGTAGTTCTGGTCCAGTGGGGTCCACCCAGAGCTTGTTTCTCTGCTCTACCACCTCCCACTGCATTACAACTGCGTTGATCGCATCGAATTAATTTTGTTTAAATAATTGAGCACACATTAATCATGTTTATCTGGTTTTAAATAATTGCACAAAGTATCATTGATATGTGTAAATTTAAAAAAAAAGTTGTGCGCCAAGTTTCTGACGCCTGCTGTGGCCGCCATTTTGAATTTAAAATGACCGCCTCTAAAAGACAGCATGCATATATCTTGGCAACGGAAAATCGTAGAGACTTAATTTTGGCCTCAATATTTACTTTAGTGTAGCAGTTTGTCCAAAAGTGATGGGAAATGGCATTTTTGACCTTTGACATACAAAACTTGCAGTATATCCCTATCCCTATATAACCATTATTTATAGAGACCTAGTTTGGCCTAAAATCGTGCAGAACATGAATGTTTCTATTTGCTGTAATGTAACATTTTGCCCAACAGTGACCAGAAATGGCATTTCTGACCTTTGACTATAGACACAGCATATCCATATCTAAATAAAAAAAAAAATGGTTGGCCAAAGAGACCTAATTTATGTTGTGAAGATATACATTTTTTAGGAGTTTTTGAAAAATGGGTCGGGTATTGTTGCTGATAGCATTATATATTCGAGAAGACTGTTTTCTAGAAGTGAGATGATGTAAAAGTGAAGGATCGATTATCATAAAAACATATGTTTGTTTTAAGCACAACGAATCTTGATCGACTGTGGGATGATCCTAAACATATAGAACATATCGAATTTTGTGACTCAAAAGCCATAAAACATCTGTCAAACATAAAACTGACAGTAACTTAATTTTTTGACCACATATGAACCTGATTTTGGTGGCAAATATTATCATGGTCAACAGGTCCGATGGTACAATTTGTAATAATATCATATGGCCGCCATATTGGATTTCAAGATGGCCGCCCTATAATATTGGGAAGTCACTCTATCTCTGTTTCTAATTAATACACACTATTGCTTTAAACGTTAAAAGAAGTGGAAGTGGTTGGCGCATCGGTTGTGGCTTGGACTCTGTGCAAGTCGGTGCCTGGGCTGAATATAGCTGCAACATTATAGAATTCCCCCATGGGGCCTGAGTATGTGCTTGTGCTTGATCCACTTACCGGGGGAAATAATGTAAGCGCACAGGGTCTCTACAATATGCGCTATATAAGTCGACAGTTATTATTATTAATTATTAAATGACATGATATAATCTAAAAGATGAGTCGATTTAGTGCACATGTTTTCACATTTGTCTTAATATGTTTTTTGTGTGGGACATATCCTGGTACACCTTAAACACAAAGTGTTCTGAGTGGTGCGCTTTAAGGTCAGAGGCCGATTACCTACTTTTTTGGACCAAATTTGACCAATACAGGACACAGCATTTGATAACATGCTTCAAAATTATTGGAATAAGGCTCATTTTAAAGCTAAGGGATCATACTACATAGAGATTATAGGTAAAAGTGATTTTGGTAATTATTTTTCAAAATATTGAGGAAAAACTCCATATTTTTTCAATTTTTAGGTAAAATTTCATATTTCTCTTTTGATTAATTAAAAATATGTTAAAGTAAAAATACTTCTGATACAAACAGCTTTAAAAACTGCCTCCACTACATAGGATCATATATCAAAAAGAATTGATTTTCCTTCACACATACAGGTTTTAATGAGAAAAATATTGATTTTCACTCATTTTTGGTACAAAATCACAAAACAACGCTATCTCAAAAACAACTCGTCATTGAGAGCTAAATTATGTATCAAAGTGATGTCAAGATTCATGTTTATATTCAACACATTGGAAGTCTTTGTCAAAAACATGGTGTATGTTGGCAACAATAGAGAACATTGTAATTTTCACCGTATTTTTGGTAAAAATAAAATCACAAATTTTTTTTCGAAATCCAGTTGTCATAGAGAGCTAAACTATGTATCAGATCATGTTTAGATTCAACATAATGGAAGTCTTAGTCAAAAAAATGGTGTAAGTAGGCAAAAATTGAGAAAATTGTAAGTTTTAAATAATAATAATAATAATAATAATAATAATAATAATATTAATAATATAATATTTCAGTCTTTGCCAACTTCCACCATGTTTATGATTAACATCTCTATTATATTAAATATAAACATGATCCTTGCCCTCAGTTTGACACATAATTTAGCTTTCTATGACCAGTGGTTAACAAGATAGCAGGTTCTAACCATTTTTTTTACATCAATTGACTGAAAATAACTATTTTCTCAATTGTTTTTACTTATGATTTTTTTTTTGTTTATGCTTAAGACCTCCTTGAAATGAGTGAAAATTACTATTTTCTCAATTTTTGCCAACTTACACCATGTTTTTGACTAAGACTTCCATCATGATACTTAATTTAGCTTTCTATGACAAGTGGTATTTAAGATAGCGTTGTTTGTGATTTTTTTTTTACCAAAAATGAGTGAAAATCACTATTCTCTCATTAAAACCTGTATGTGTGAAGGAAAATCAAAATTCTTCTTGATATATGATTCTTTAAAGGCCAGCTCCGGGCAAACAATTTGTATTGATTATATATTATAGTTATTATCAGTCTATTGATTCACCTATGTTTCGGGATTTTTCTGAATTTTGTTTTGCTACATGATTTTCTTTTGAAAATAAGTACTTTTTGAAAGCTTACCCAGCAAAATTCCTATTCTTTTGCACACAAATGACCTTAAGAGCAGGCATTTTGAAAAAATCCTAACAAATAAACAATAGGGCAAAAAATTACACTAAATGACTAAACTTTGGTGAATTTAGTCGCACTTTTCGTTTCTGGAGTTTTTATTTTACGTCAAGTAGGTATTTCTGCGCAATTATCATTTATTACCCACCGTACCCACTCGATTTTTTTCACTTTCCGGGAAGTCAATCGCTCTGAGCTTTGCACATGCGCTAACATGCCAATCCATCTGCTGCTCTCGCTCGCTCGCTCCGATCCTTTCGTGTAAAAAAAGTCCGAGCGAGAAGATGATAAGTATGATGAATAAAAAAAAAACTAAATACAGGAGTAGGCCTATTTTGGTTGAGTAGTAATGGTGGAAAGATAGAAGGGAAGGTTTGGTGGTAGATTTGATAGATCTAGGTCTAGCTGTGGATGCCTTTGAGCCGCTAGAGGTGAGGCTTAGGCCCTATATCGTTGGGAAATCGTCAACAGGAGAAGGTACCTATGCCAGCCCAGCGGGATTCATTCCCAGCATGGAGGTATCCCAGCCCGGCTAGGAGGATGGACGAGTTGAGACGATTGGATCGGTTGTCGTTGTTATGTGGTATCATTTGCTACTTAAGAATTGAAGGAAAAATGGGAGACCACAGTTGTTTGACGATGATAAATTCAAGAAACTGTGTCTTGATATTACGATGCTATCGTATAACGCTTACCCCTACAGCAATTCCTACAAATTAGGGCAGGCAATGTGTGGATTGGTAGGAAGGTTGGTATTTAGTACTATTCCACAGTTCTCTTAGGTAGACTTAGGTTGGCTAGACTGGACTTGTTGACTGGCTGAGATATGACTATGTGACGATCCTAGAAACTGGGCTGGGTTTGAAACTAGGCCTAGCCTAGGTCTTGTTTTATATGCAAGTTAATCCACAAACTACTTTCTTCTGTCATTTTTTTTTTTTTTTTTAGTTTTTTTTTAAATTGGAACAATAGATTATTTCGCTTTTGTTTTTATCGATGAGGGAGGGATTGTTTATATTTGTTTTTTAGTTTTTTTTTTTTAGTTTTATCAATTGTATTATTGATTCTGTTATGGCAATTATGTTTATTGTACACTATCTTGACGATCGCGTTTTACAGGTTAGTGTGGTGTAGTCCACAGCAGCGCGATGTCACGTTCTCGCGGTGTCGTTGGTTGACAGTTAGTGTGTTGTAATTTGTTTTCTCATCAGGGTTGGAGTATTCTAAAACATAGCTAGTGAAAAAAAGTAGACTGCTTGATTTTTGCGGTTCTAAGCGGATTTTTATATTCTCGTTTTCAGTCAAATTGGCGAATTTTTTTTATCGAGATTACTCACATGATATCTTATAATAATGTATTTGAATACATAGTAAAGAGAAAATGTATGCCCGGAGCTGGCCTTTAACATTATCGTTACATCTATGACCAACGGTTGTTGAGATATATGCTACAGTGTACATAGGGTCAAAGGTCAAAAGCGTCCTGTTACTTTTGGACAAAACATTGCATTAGTGCAAATAGAAACGTGTATGCTCCAAACAATTTGAGACCAAATATTTTAAAGGATTTAAGTGCTTAGGAAAACCTCACGCGCACACTTAAGCCTACCCATACAGCCTACCCATACATCTGATAATAACTTATCTTAGAATAATTTTTTACATTTGTTATGACACGGAAATTTTTACGTTTGTAGGCAAAATGTTTCTACATTTGTGATTATACAGATTTTTACATTTGTGGACAATTTTTTTTAAATTTATGGTTATTTTAAGTAAAATCTTGTATTACACTTTCTGATGAATTTCCTGATCATACCAGTGACCATCTATCTATTTAACCTCAATTCATATTGAGGTTTCTCATACTCATAATGTAAACGTGATAAGATTACAAATCAACCGTTCCGTTCCCAAAGGCCGACTGCAGGGAGAAAAACTCGTTTTGTGTTAATTTTGCAGATAAACTCACTCTTAGTCTTGAACAATTTAAGATATATGACCATGACTTTACTGATATTGATGATGCTCAAATATATGTAAATTCTATATGTGATAAGCTTGCGGGTATTATACACGACTCTGTGAAATCTGTAATAATAATGTTGAGTCTAACAGATATACCCAAAAGTCACACTTGTAGAATAATAACTGTTCCATTGCTAGAGATATGCAACTTTTTCGGTATCGTATATGGGGTCAATGTGAAAAACCACGTTCTCGATATATTTACAGCTGTTACAATTATGCCAAAATGGTTTGTATAAATTGCTGTAGAAATGCCATAAGACAAGTTGAATCTCAGAAATTTAATACTTTAAAAATAGATTACACGGGGGCCGGGGGCCACAGCTCCCCACCAAGTCGGGGAGTGCGGCCCCCTACCCACCCCCACCCCGTCGGGAAGAAAAAGCACAATTGTATTTTCTACATATTAGTAGACTCTAAATTCGATTAAATACGCCTTTGAAACCCCTAAATTGTTAAAATTTTCGGAGGCTTCGCCCCCTAGACCACTTTCAAAACCTTTTAATCGAAGCTCGGCCACGCCCACATTGCTTTCGTCGGGGAAATCTGACCCCTCGTCGGGGGCATCGGCCCCCTCGTCGGGGACCTCGGCCCCGTAGGGCATATCCTGGCGCCACCCCTGATTAAAAACCCAAGGAAAATTTGGAAAGGTATCAAAGACTCGAAAAATATTGTTGCTACTAATTATCATAAGTCCATTAGCAACTCTAAACTCACTGACTTTTTTTTGTTTGTTAAAGTTTGATAAAAGTAATGCGACGTCCGATCTAATCACGGAAGCTGAGGTCTTTGTCGATAAAAAGTATAACAGCGTGAAAGCCATCCAGTTCAGTTTATTTTACACGTCATAATGTTTTAAAATATATCAATAATTTAAATATTAACTCCGCCCTTGGACCTGATGGTATTTCTGTCAAACATCTCAATGGTTAAGGAACCGGTATAGGCTCTAACCTACCACTTATAATTGCAAACCTATTGAATATTTGCGTTAAGTATGGGGTCATCCTAGAAACGTTTCGTGAGGGCACCCTAATCCCCATTCTCAAAAGGAACATTCTTGATCCATCAGCAGCTGCAAATTATAGAGCCATTATTGTATCAAATACTATATCTGAGTTGTGCTTGCTTGATCTATGTTTTGACGTTTACTTTTATTAATCTCAATATGGTTTCGTAAACGGTAGAGGTACCGCGATGGCGGCAGCCACAGTTAACAATGTGTTTACATACTGCAACAATCAAGGGTCAAATGTCTACTCTTGTTCCCTTGCTGCCGAAGTGGCATTTGATCAATTACCTCATTCTATAATATTTTATAAATTAAGTAAAGTTATAAATGATGACTGGTGGCGATGTATGTACGTGTGGTACGCTAACATTTCCGTTAGCGTTAAGTGGCATGACACAACCGGTAGAAACTTTGCAATCCGTAAAGGCACAAGGCAAAGTGGCCTGTCAACGCCATTTATTTTTAATGTTTTTTACAAAGATCTTGTAACAGGTCTCCAAAATATGGATATTGGTATCATTGTCGCCAAAGCTAAATTTAATGTGTTCTGCTACGCAGATGACTTGCTATTGTTAACTAGCTTAACAGTGACCGGGCTTCAGAAACTTATTGCTTATGCACATGATTACATTGTATATCATGGTCTTCGTTTTAATCCCCACGAAAACGTCAGGTACAATCTTTGGGAAACACAAATTTACCAAAAAACCAGAATGGACTCTAAATAACTGTTCATTGAAAATTTCTAATTATGTTAGTTATCTTGGAATAACACTAAATAGTAATTTAAAAAGCAAGCCTGGGGGTATTTGTTGAATAAATTAAATTGAATTGCATTGCATTGAATTGAATTGAATAATAAATTGAATTTAATTGAATTATTACTTTTATGGTTGACGTGTCGTGACATTTGCGGTTATTTTGACATTTGCGGGTAAAATGTGGTTATTTTTACATTTGTGGTAGATTTTAGACCCTTTGTAACTTTGAACATAGGCCTACGAAGTGACTTACTTTAGGAGCTTCGTTTAAATTGGAGTTTCCAGTTTGAAAGCCTAACAGCACTGGCTAAAAAAATGTCCGACAAGGGTGGAGGAACGAACTAAGGGGATTAGAGCCTCGGTTAGTGTCCGGTATAAAAATTAACGGTAGAGTAGGAGAGTTTTTTTATGGCTAATATGCCCCAAAATTTGCTTTTATACCACAATATGAGGGATTGGTAGTCAAATGAACATTAATTGGATAGTACTGGGTAGCTCAGGCATCGTGCCACTGATGAGATGCGAGGATACTTTACAAGGTGTATTAGAGTGAGTAAAGGAGGACGAATATTATCCAGGTATTGGTTATTATTTTCTGAAACTATTTATGCACAATTACTTATTATTTGTCAACAAATTAATTATTTCACAACATTTTTTCCCCAGAACAATGAAGACCCACAGTTTGAATTTACCTTGGACTCCGGTCGTGTTTCAGCATTGGTATTAGGAGAGACGGCTGTGTACACTATGGTTGTCTACACCCCAACCAGTTCGGCAACAACGTACTCTGTAGATGTCGTCGCTAAAAATAATACATTGTCGGTTTGTAGGACTGAAATACTAGACTATGGAAAAAACTTACCCTGTCTATATTCTGTAGACAGAGCCGCTTACTTTTCATATGAGAAGGATGGAATGGTGGACCGTGGGTTCCTTGATCTTGGCGTTGTGAGAAATACAGGTTAAAAACAAATTTCCATCGTTGAATTATTATTATTATTATTCTTTCTTTAGGCACACAACACATGTGCCAAGGATTGCCAATATCGAATATATATCACTGTCCTACTTGTAGGTGACAATCCTTTACCATTTGTGAATAAAGATTGGTTGGAAGTAAACTTCATGGATCGTCTTCACGAAGTGTTGTGAGTTGGTGACATGGTGACCAGTGTTGCCTACCAGTAGATACAGTAACTTTGCCAAGCGGTAGGTTGGCGATCTTCTCGAAGAAACAATGGGCCGTAATGTGTATGTCTGTTTTGTGGTTGTCCAAATATTCTAGTGCATATGGATGCTAAAGGTTGAAGTTGGTGGTATAGTGTCTTCAAAAGCACCTCCAAACGATTGAGTAGCTTGCTTGGGACCCACCTTTCGAAGGCTTGCATAGGGTCCTTCTTGATCCTCCTATACGTAGGGGTGCTCAAGAGCTGTCTCTTATACACATCTAGATGTGTATAAAGGCTAACTGTAAAGGTAATATACACTATAGTTTTAAATTGGAAAGAAATTAAAACAAGTTCATGTTTTCTTTTACAATCTAAAGCTGCATAAAAAAACACTACCGTTTGAATATTTTTTGCATAAGTATTATTAACTTGAAAATACTTATATATTAATACTTGCAGTACACCACGTATATAGTTCTGGAAAGAACTGTTGTTGGTTTGAGAATATCTCGACCTTTCGATTGAGTTGCTTCTATCGTCTTCAGGAGAATAGTATCTGCTGAAATTCCAAACAGTGAAATACTTATATGTTTTGGGTAGTGAGACTTGCTGCTAATTGGTTGAAAACTAAACAATACCTATAGCTGAGACTACGTGTGGACAGTCTAATACAAAATCCAAAATTAACTGTTTGTGCAATAGGGTGGTCGTGGCTAGAAAGCCAAGACAGTGGTACTGTTCTAGCTTGTTGAAAGGAAAGACAAAAACAATGGCAGTGTTTCCAGTGTGGCGGGAAAAGTGTTCCATTGGTTTAGGTCCGATTAAACGTAGACAACCAAATATCGCTGATGAAAAATCCGATATCTTGCTTCTCTGGTCTGTCTGGAATGCCAAGCTGTTTTGTTTGTGGGAATGCATGACTATATACAGTAGATGACTTTTGCTGTTCCCCTCTCCTAACATGGCCTTGGTGTTCCTTGAGCCTAGTACGGAAATCACGTCCTGTTTCGCCTATGTAAATCTTTCCACACTCGCATGGAATCCAATAAACTAATGGCTGGCTCTGTGTTTTTGTTTTATCCTTGTGTGTTTGAAAAAGTCCGGGATAGTTTGTAGGGTGTAGTATGAAACACTTTAATATCGGCTTGTTGCAGAATGGTTTGAATACGACGTGAAAGCTGTTTCCAAATATGGTAAACATACATACTTTCTAGATTCCGTATCATCTCGGCTATTGTAGCTGTTATCTCCCATGTGATAACTGTTCAGTTTCAGGACTTTCTTAACATGCTGCGCTACTTTCTGGATAGAGTCGCGGTTACCGATGATGTGTGCTCTTTTGATATATTTTGATAAGCGTGTTGAAAACTCCCTTCTTGGTGGATGGATAGTGAAACGAGTGTTTGTTTAAATATCTGTCGGTGTGAGTTGGTTTGCGATAAACAGATTGTGATAAAATCCCTGTATACTGTCTGGTGACCAAAACATCAAGAAAAGGTAAAGAGTGATTGTGTTCATTTTCCATCGTAAACATGATTGCTTTGTGCTGAGAACTCGGGTGATATAGAAAACTATCTAGGTACACCTTAATGTGCTGCCAATGAGCCAAAGTTTTGATTGCCGGGTGGCGGAATGAAGCGGTAGCTGTTCGAATTCTTAAAGGAAGATGTTAGCAATGACTGGAAATAAAAGAGATTCCATGGTCGTGCCTTCTGTTTGTTTAAAGAATTGGTCATGCAATTTGAAACTGGTAGACAGTAAAACACAGTTAAAAGTAGTTGGTGAATCTGTTCTGGGTTGAGTGCTGTTCTTCTCTGGAAAGTCGGGTTCCCTTCTAGAAGATCTTTGGCTATGAGACAAGCCTCCTTGACCGGTACATTTGTGAATAAAGATTGGTTGGAAGTAAACTTCATGGATCGTCTTCACGAAGTGTTGTGAGTTGGTGACATGGTGACCAGTGTTGCCTACCAGTAGATACAGTAACTTTGCCAAGCGGTAGGTTGGCGATCTTCTCGAAGAAACAATGGGCCGTAATGTGTATGTCTGTTTTGTGGTTGTCCAAATATTCTAGTGCATATGGATGCTGAAGGTTGAAGTTGGTGGTATAGTGTCTTCAAAAGCACCTCCAAACGATTGAGTAGCTTGCTTGGGACCCACCTTTCGAAGGCTTGCATAGGGTCCTTCTTGATCCTCCTATACGTAGGGGTGCTCAAGAGTTGCATGATTTTCTTGTTATACTGAGCGACATTCATGACGACCATTGCATTTTCCTTATCCACTTGTAATATATGGATAGTAGGGTCGGCCCTGAGGGTCTTTAATGCATCGCGTTCAACCTTGGTGATGTTAGGTTTCGGCCTGGTGTCATTGCGTAGTACTTGAGAAATGCAGATGATGTCTGTTAAGGTCTTGTCAATCCCATTTAGCGAAGGGTTTACTTGTTGGACAATTTCTTTCTTCAGTATAGTCGACGAATATTGATTTCTCAGCTGTTGGCAGATTGTGATTGCTGAGGTTGTCTACAGTCTTAGCATGGGACTCTGTACGGCGAAGAGCGGCGTTGGAAGTTTCAATATTATTGCATGTGACACATTTGAACTTCTCTATCTGTTTCTTGCGTGTTCTCTCGATCGAAAGTGAGTCGTCTTGTGGTTATTAACCAATTGTAGATTTTGACGAAGTCCCTTGCTTGTAAGGATTGATTAAGTTTAGTTTGAATGCAGTCCATGTTGTCTTTTACAGAATGCAGTTGGAATCTCGCGTAACTAATCTGCTCCCTTAATAGTGACTGGCCGGCTTTCTTGAGAATAGCTGAGGCGGTCCTAGTTTAAATTGGTGAAGAAAGTAAAAGACATTGAGGTATAACGTTGGAATCTCTGCATCTCTTGAGAAAAGTTAGTGTTAATCAGTTTCGCATGTTTGATACACGAACTATAATACGTGGTGTACAGCAAGCATTAATATATATTCTTACTTTGCCATGTAAACCTTCATCAAGTTAAGATATTTCAAACTAAAAATTTGGCTATTAGGGTTTTTGTCTGAAATTCAAATCCGATCCAGTACTCTAAGCAAGGACTTACAGGTTTAAGTCCTTTCTCTAAGCCTCATAGTATACATGCATTCATATTTCTTGGTCTTTTCACCCTGATTTGAAAACAGGTTACAAACCAATAGCGAATGGTCCCGATAACTACATGATTGCTCAGGTTGTAGTGAGACTTGATGAGGAAGTTGATACTTCATTTGATGTTACCGTAGGAACTGGTTTAACTAATATATGGTCAACAACAAGGAATGTCACATTCAATCCTTCATCAGGGACTAGTGCACCTGTAAGTTGAACACTTAAAATAATTTTGATGATGCCAATACGACAAGAAATACATGTTATTGCCTGTTTTTTTCTTCAAATTATTCGTTATTAATAATTATTATATGGTTCTCAAAAACGTGTACTGTTTCTGATTTAATCTTATAACATTTAAGGCAAGATGATTAACTATTCAGGCATGATGAACAATATAATTATATCTCATGTATAATGTGCAACTACTGTATAAGTATAAACATTGGTGTCTGTATTGCTGCTTACATTTTAGTGGACATGAAACCTGCAATCCTTACTACACTCGCGACATTTAAAAAGCTGCTGTATAGTTCTCTGTTTTGTCAGGGACTTCTAACTGAACAGGACAGGAAGCTAGCTGACCTCCACTGCACGCCTGAACTGTATCGTTGGTGCATACTGTTGATTTTAGGCAAGTTCTACACATACTCAGAAGTATATTGAGAACAGCATGATGGAATAAATCATATCTCTCCTGTGTTAAATCAAGGTAGGTCTTAAAATGTTCAAACACTAGCATTTGTGAGTAATATATTTCCATTTTATGTAGGTAATAGATATACAGATTATTTTAAGCACAGGACATCAGCCACGTCACATACCGTGTACGCTGTGTATAAAGTATGTAAAAAAGGAGCATTAAATAACTATAATTTTTGAAACCTAACTATTAAGTGCTTAAAATTGTCCATGTATTTACTACTTACCTATATGAAGTGAAGATCACAGATGTTAATATTTGATTATTTTGACACAGGAGATATACGATTTATCCCATCATGCTTTTCTCAATATACTTCTAAGCATGTGCAAAACTTGCCTAAAGACAACAGCATAGTTGGAGAAGGAACAAAAAGGCTTAGATACTTTAATTGTGGCTCTACTCCAGGGCCTTGCATCATCATAGCAATGTCGTTATAGGACACGGTTCGTGGGCACGGTCTTACATTTTAGCCAATAGCATATTAGTAGGCCCGGAGAAGAAAAGGAACTTGATAAACTTGAGCTCAATTTGATCATTTTGAAAAACAAACCTTTGAACTTTGAAATTGGTGTCTATCACTATCTATCGGCACACACACGGTGAGTGTGCTCCTTTATACTTTGGCTTGGCTCAAATTACAAGACTGTGCTATGTTATCTGTGGCAGAAGTAGTCATTAATAAGATTTTAGGGTTTTGACCCTAATTACCCAGCTCTGTCTGATATTTGATCCTAAGCGGTAAACACCCCATGTATAGGAGGTGTCACTGGCTATACTGACCAACATTGATTTAAATCGGCCTAACCGTTTGTCACTAGTAGCTTTTCGAAATGTTGCCAGAAAAGATAAGAATGACTCATGAATGACCTTCGACCCCAAATCCCTGAACACCATTATGACTGCCTTATGCCAATGCATATGTGCAATTGACGATACTATTCATTGTTATTTGTGACAGAAGTCTTTTCTAAGATTTTGGGTTTTTACCTTAATGATCCCTGTGTGACCTTTGACCAAGACGGTCAACACCCCATGTAGGCCTATGGAATTTGTCACCGGTTAACAGATAGTGGCGGCTCTAGGATATAATTTAAGATTTAAGGGCTAAGATGTTCGACTGCGGGGTGGGGGCTAAGTATTTATGGGTGTAACTATAGCCGAAGGCCCGAGCCGGGGGTGGGTATGGGAGAGGGATGTCCCCTACTCCCAAAACGAGATTTAAAAAAAAATTGGGACTTCTAGACTAGGCCCTAGTAGATGGCCGGAAATGGCTGGGACGGAAAAACTAGGCCTATTTTTTTTTCTTTTCGGTCCGACTGCCCGACGAGCTTTGGCCGATGGGAAGGGGACTTTACCAGAACAATGGGGGGCTTAATTCCCCTGCCCCCGCTGGCGCCGCCACTGTTAACAGACTAAGTTTGATAGAAATCTATGGAACGCCCACAGTGCCTTTAGCGGCTATAGCATTCGGCTACGCAATTTACCATTTGGCGACCCATTGCATTCGGCATGCGGCGGCCACATTCATTCGGCGGCAACTATGTATTCGGCGCATTTGGCATGCGGCGGATTACAATAATACAACGGTTTTTTATTTTTTAATTTAACTGTTAATATATACAGGGACATAAGGTTTTGGTCTGCATGGGGGGGGGGACGTGGGTGCGAAAATTGAGAATAATAAATCCCTATTCTAAAGAAAACACATATCTGTCATTTTTGATATTATAACCCACTTCCTTAGTTGACTAATTTGCCGGTTTTGGGGAGGGGGGTGGGGGTGGTACATGTATATCGGCTCTCCCCGCACCCCATAGCCTACGGTAATGACAGTATAATACTCCTTTTACATTGCCAAAGCCAGAATCGACCCGGGTTGCTTCCGGAGTTAACCCGGGTGCATTTCCCATTTACATCGAACGAAAAAGTCCGGGTTGATGCCGAGTTGCTCCCATTTTACACTGGCAACGAACTCGGGTTCAAATACCGCCATCAGTTTTTGTTGCAATGGTGATCAGCATTTCGCTCGAGTTCCTCGTCGTCACGAAGCCACAATTACTGTCAATTATTGCAGCAACATACCTACAGATTCTTTTTAAATTATGCGAATTAAATCAGCAGTTTTAATATCAAGTCTATACCGGAGCGTAGAGGGTTTAATTTGACAAGTGTCTATGCCTAGACCGTTGTAGGCAAAGTTTAGGCGTACCTGACCACAGCTGCAGTAGGCGCAAGGTAAAGCCTAATTCCGGAATCAAATTCGGTGCTGTTTACTCTGGCGACTCCGGAATGCACCCGGGTTGTCCTACGCTGAATGTGTCCCGCACGTCCCTCCCGGAATGGTTGGCAACCCGAGTAGGACTTTTTGACGTTTACACTAACCACAATTCGGGAGATTTTAACCCGGGTATTGGAAAATACCGGGTTACGTCCGGAATTTTGCTTGCAGTGTAAAAGGGGTATAAGTAGTAAAAAGCACAACCAGGAAGCACTAGATGGTTTAGAAATTATAAGCTTGTACACAGACGTTGGAAAATACCAGTTTTCGTTTTCGTGGTCGCCGAATGATAATATAGTTGCCAAATGCTAAAGTCGCCGAATGATAAATTCGCCGCCGAATGATAAAACATAATAAAAATGCTATTTGCGCCGAACAAAAAGTCGCCGCATAGGGCACTGTGGGCGTTCCATAGAAATCAGCCCAATCGTTGGCACTAGTAGCGTTTTGAACAGTTACCAGAAGAGAAGGGATGAGGAGAAGACAGAACCCAGTCTGCCAGCTGATGACTGGGTATATCATTTGATACTGCAATGTACTTGATCAGGGCAGTGTATACACCATGGTAGTAGGGGCTGTCCATTCCTAGGCTAGCCTTTGATACTAGTGTACATGGTTTGTATTAGACTGGGTTGCAGTCCCTAAACTTTGTCTTAATCAGAGAAAATGTTTAACAATAAGTCAATTTTGGCACTAATCGCGTTTCATACTATACTTTTTCTGGAATTGGGACTGGGCAAACAGCGAGGATTTAGACATTATTGTAGGTATTAAGGTTTGTTTACATTGCGAGACGACAGTGCATCGAATATGACTTCGCCTTGTTGTTGATGTAAGTTACATTATATATGTTGCAAATGTTGGTTTGAATGCGAATTATAATTTGGTAAATCACTTAGAAGTGTTCCAAAATTAAATTTTGAAATACTTATCAGTTTGGTTTGGTAAGGCTCCAATAGATAGTTGGATAGCCTGGAAGTTTTTCAAGGAAAGGTACGGTACCTTCACGACGTGCATTGCTCCAGTGAGTCGTCGCTGGCCGAGGTACTTTTTAGGCCTAGGCCTAAGTCAAGAATATTATTTATGGCAAATGTTATCGCAGCATGAAAAAAAAAAAAAAAACAAAAAAAAAAACAAACAAACAAACAAAAAAAAAAACAAAAAAAAAAAAAACGAACGTGTGCGTACCTTTGGTCCGAAAGCCCATTGGTCCGAAGTGTCTTTGGTCCAAAGGCCCGTTAGTCCGAAGGGTCTTTGGTTCGAAGGTCCATTGATCCGAAGGCCCGTTGTTCCGAATTAGTGGCCTTTTTTTTTCCAGGAATGCAGGTTATACGGCAGTAAAACAATTCCTTTTCTTCCAAATTCCAATTCTTGTCACCTGCCGCATCCATTTCGCTGTCTTACCATTAAAAAAATATATTTCCTTTATTTTGCGAAATGTACGAAAATCTGACTAACTCACATCAGCAAAATTCCTCTCTCGATCGTTCGTGGATAGGGAGGTGTTCCCAGTAAAAAAAAATTTTATGTATTTTCTACATATTAGTAGACTCTAAAATCGATTTAATAAGCCTTTGAAACCCCTAAATTGTCAAAATTTTCGGGGCTTCGCCCCCTGGAGCACTTTCGTAACCTTTGAATCGAAGCTCGACCACGCCCACTTTGCTTTCGTAGGGAAAATCTGACCCCTCGTCGGGGCAGCGCCCCCCCCCCGTCTGGGACCTCGGCCCCCTCGTCGGGCAAATCCTGGCGCCACCCCTGATTAAAATCTGTTCTGTCTCCTGCTTAAATATTAGGAGATTATACTTACGCTCCATTCGCTTGGAATCTTTTCAATTTCGATTAATTTGTTAAAAATATTCATAAGCTGAGCTGACAAGTCATGCTAGCAATAATTGTATATTGTTAGCTAATATAGACCTACATGGTGGTCCCAAACATGTGTTTTCTTCAAATATATTTTTGTCTATATTTGAATTAATTACTTCGGACCAACGGACCTTCGGACTTCAGGCCCTTCGGACCGTCGGACAAATGCACATTTTCAACAGCCTGTTTCCTAGACCAAGGTTGGTTGAGCAATCAGTACCGTTAAGGGTTATTTTCTACTTTATTACCTACTCGACTACAGAGACATATATATAGTATATATAGGCATAACAACTCCTTCCCTGCTTCGGGCCCTGGTCAAGGTACAGTACCTTCACGACGTGCATATTGCTCC